TCAAAATCTTGAAAAATTAAAAACTTTTAATAATAGTAAAGTTTTTTAATAAAAAATCGATATTTTTCATTAAAAAATCAAATTATAAAGATAATTTATAATTCTTATTCATATAAAAACCTAAAAAAAATATTTGTTAATATCTTGTGGAATAACCACGAGCTTTGATTACAGCTTCTATATGATGTACCATATTTGTAACAAGCTTTTGATAAATTTCACATGAAATTTCAGACCAGCATTCGTGAAGAAGTGCTTTCAATTCTCGCAAATATTTAGGATAGTTTTGTTTAGCTCAAATGCGACGTTCAAGCTCATTCCATAGGTGTTCTATGGGGTAAGATCTGGACTTTGTCCAGGCCATGGTAATAAATATATTGCCATTTCTTCAACAAAATTTCGTGTTCTTATGCTGACATGAATAGGTGCATTATCTTGCTGAAATAAATACTCGCCATATTCTTCTTCAAATTCTTCTAAAAAAGGTACTACGTGATAGCCAAGGATTTCTTCTATACATCTTTCACTATTTATTCGACCATCTATTCTTACCAATGGATCTAATCCATGCCATGAAAAACACCACCACATCATAATACCACCTTTACCATGTTTTACAGTAGGAACAAGACAACTTACCTTATATTTTTCTTCTTAAAGACGCAAAACTCGGATTTTTCCATCATTTTGATATAATGTAAATCTGGATTCATCACTTCATATAACATTTTTCCAGTTATCAATAGTCCATGAATGTCTTTCGTGAGCCTAATTTAATCGTATTTTTTGATTAGGTTCACTAACATTGGGTTTTCTAAGAGCAGTACGATCATTATATCCCATTTCATATAAGGTATTTTTTATAGTATTTTTACATACTACTTTTCCTGTTGATTCAGCAAAAGTTTTTACTAATTTATCTGCTGAAACATGACAGTTTTGAGTAACGATAGTCTTAAGATGACGTTTATCACGTTCCGTTAATATTTTTGGACGTCTACTTTGTGAAGTAATACTAATAGCACCTATTTCATTGTATTTTGATATAATATTATAGATTGTAGTTTTGCCATGACCTGTTTTTTTTGGAAATAGCTCTTTCTGATTCACCAGCTTTATAGAAACCAATTATCATTCCGCGTTCAAAATCCGTAAGTTCTCTTGTTTTAACCATTTTGCGAAAAATAAAAATTTAAGATTAAAAAGCGTGATCTGCATAACAATCATTATTTATTAATAATTATATGGTACAAATTTTAGGTTACACCGATGCATTGGTATTTATTTATCTCAATTTATTTGCAGATCTCAGGATAGTCCTAAACTTATTGGCTGGGAGTGTATAGTATATATTATTATAATAAAAAACTTATAATAATTATTAGCTAATAGTTTAAGTGATACAATATAGAAGTAAAATTATAAATTTTTTTTAGAATCTAGTAAAGCTAAAATCTCAGTGAACTCACATCATATACTGATAAATCTGACTTTATTTATTTCTTTATAATATACTGAATAAATTTAAAATTATTAGATTATGCATGCAATAAAATGTCATATACATTTTAGATATGATATTTGAAATAGAAATAATATAGATGCAATCAAGGATATTAGGAGAATATCTATAGTAAATCTTAATTCTGATAAATAATTAAAAAAAACAATATATACCTAAAAAGGTATTACTAATTGATTACATTTTATTTAGGCAATAAATAGCGAATTATCTATTATATTTATATATGCTTTTTATCCAATTTTAATTCTTAGAATACTTTTTGTCTATTAATATCAAAAAAGTTATAAATAAATAAGAATTCATAAAACTAGATCTAACAATTTCAGATCGTATTATATTAAAATCTAAATAAACAATCCTATTACTAAGTAATAAAGATATATAAAATTAATAATTTATTTATTCTAAATAATGCTTTTTTATTTTTTAGTATCAAATCTAAACTAATGATCTAAGAAAACTATTAAGATAGAATTAGGAAATTGAAATATTAATTATGAAGATAAGGAGGATAAATGTGATTTAGTTACAGTGAACTCTTAATATAATGAATTCTAGGATCTGAATATCAACTTCGTTATAAGTTTATAACGAATTTTTTAAAGAATTTAATTGGCTAGTTCACTATAGTAAGGTAATTTTAATATATATTTGATTTAAAAATTCGCTATATCAAGGGTTCGCTATATCAAGGTTTGATTATATTAGGTTGCAAAAAAAACATTAGAAAAGAAACATATGGAACAATAAAAGATATAATCTCAACCAAACGTAATGGTGATTATTATTTTTTACTTATCAAAATTTTTTTAATTAATCAAAAAAAAAGTTTTTTTAAATAAAAACTAAATAATTATAATTATAACTTTTATTATTAAATTAATATTTCATTTGTTTTTCATCTGCATTAATTAATACTTTAATTTATTTTACATGTTATGATACAATTAACTATAAAAGAATTGTTAAGATCTTTTCATTTCTTCTTAATTATACTAAAAAAAATTTCAATTGAAACTTTTTTTTTACAATATTATTTTCTTGATATATTATTTTATATTATTCTTTAAAATAACTCAAACATTTTCAATTTAATTAGATTAAGGTCTAAGATATATTAAGGTTAAAAAATAACCAAATCTAAAAGATAAATTTTTAAGTTTCTTTAGATGTTATATAATAATAAGAAATAAATTAATTTACTAATTCATTTTGATTTTGTTTATTCATTTATAATGTTCTACTATCCAATTGGACTTAATAAATAATGTAATAAATCAGAATAATAAAAATATCGCAATTAAAAAATTAAGTGTCATTCCTACTGTTATTACTTTTGAAGGAAACTATATATACCATAATGCATATATTTTATTTTCTTATTTTAAATACAATTAAAAACAAAATTTTTTAAAAAAGTTTATGTAAAAATTCAATTGTAAGAACTTTTACCTGTTTTAGCAGATCTATATATATTAAATCAAAAAAACATTATGTAGCTCATTTTAAGAATAATTTGAAAATAATAAATTAAAGTGAATAAAATATTTGTTGGTATTAAATATAAAATCAATAATTTATCATTTTTTTAGACAAAATTATTTTGACTTAGGGTAAACATTTTGTGAACATCAAGAATTTAGTAAATGTGATGCTAGAAAACACGTCTGAATAAGTCAAATAACTTTACAAACCTACTTTTTATCAGGAACATAAATAAATTTTTTCTTTGCTAATTTTTTTAATGCGTATCAGTTCTTTGCTTAAAAATTATAATATTAGATAAATATTATTAATCTATTATTTTCGATGTACTGTATATGCTAGTATTATTGATATATAAAACCTTAAATAGTTTGAATTCGGAATTAGTTGCAACCGAACTTTATCATCCATATTTGAGATAAATCATCAAAGTTGTATAAACAATACGAAGTAATTTCATGAAAGAAAAATTCAATTACAAAAAGAAAGCCCTTCTGTAGCTAAAAATCACAATTTCTTTCGTTTGTTTTTCATTATTGCATTTTCAACAATATATTATAAAAGGTATGCACTGCGAAGCTACTGAACTTTACTACCAACACATAGCCCTACTCCAATTACAACAAATGCAATTCCAATCCAAGATTCTTCAATAATATATTTACATAGATTAATAATTATATTAATCAATTTCGTAATTCAATTTTAAACTTACCCTTGGACCCAATATCTTCGCCGAGTAAACTAGCTGCTAAAGTTGTAAATATAAATGTCAATGAATTGGTAATAGGAACTGCCAATGAAAGGTCTATATAATCAAAATATTCCAACTAAGAAATAATTTCATTTGTAAAAAAAAAACGCAAATCTTTAAATTATACCTGATTGGCCAAGCGTAAGATAATAAACTATTGATCCACTTAAATTGAAACACAAAGGTATCATATACTATTGATTTTGATATCGAGCATATTAGCGATTCCTGTAAATATATTCAATAATTCAGCCATATTATTAAGATATGAGTTGTACCTGCCATTTTGTAATAAGAAACTCAAGTTCTTCTAATGTTTGTTCAATCCAATTATCTCGTTTAATCTTCTCTAAGCCTATACTTCCACGTTTAATAAAAGGATTTGTAAATCCCCAGCATAGTGCCACTTCAAAATAAAAAAACATTAGTTATAGAAAATAGAAGCTTTTAAAGGCATATTTCAGTTACCTAAGATAAAACCAATAGCCTTTTCTAAAATAAAGAATAGAACATAAGTATTAGTTGAATAGCATCTTATTTTATTTAAGATATTAAACTTACTTATTATCGGATAATATTCTTCCATTTTTTCTTATCCTTTTTTTCCAAGAATACGACATATTTATTGGAAAAAATGTGGCGCGTCACTAATTGCTGCGGAGATACTATGTGGCTTGAATTGTTTTTAGATGATTAGATGAAAATCGATAATTCTTCGTTTTGATAAAGGTAATGGCGCCGTATTGCAAGCAGTAGTTCTTGCAGACAGCTTTAATGAACGGTTTCAACCTATAACTCTTGATATGCCGCGAGTATGTTTTTTTTTTTTTTTTTGGATATTTCAATAATACTCGGTTTAGGATTCTAACAATCTATCATTATTGTAGTGCCTGTTACCACTTTGTAATACCCCCTTAATTGAGTACACATTAGAATTTCTTGCAGTCGCTGGTGTACAAGAAGTATATCTATTTTTAGAGAGCATTCAGAAAAAGTCAAAAATTATGTAAAGTAGGTACAATCGGCAATATGAGAGGATATTTTTTTTTTTTGATAATTTTACATTAATCAATTTAACTCGATTTAATCAATTAGGACGTCAAAATGGAATCGATCATGTTCTCCATTTAAAATAATTACAATTGTAACGCCTGAAGCACGTTCTGTTGGTGATGCTCTAAGAGAATTAGATTCGA